GTATCACCTTACCATAAAATATACTACTAGTTGTAGTGGTAGTATCAAAATTGCTAGAGATTAGGCCGGGTATATCTTCACCTCTTCTTATACTAAACTTTCACTTTAAGGATGTCAATACATTTAGGAAGTCCGCTTACCCACCATCCTGTAAAATGAGTTTATACAATGTCGTAAATAATATCTCCAACTCCACATATAGCCCGAATCCCTAAAAAGAAGGTCTATTAATAATGAAAACAGATTCTCAAGACAATTTGTTCAGTTTCCTAATACGCATCTCTCTCATTTTTTGCTCAATATTTACAAAGTCACATTTTTATGCCATCCATTCTTTCAACCCCATAAAATAGCATTCCTCTACATGAATGATGCCCAACTAAAGTAGGCGGGCTAGCTCTTGAACACTCAACCAAAGTTCCGAAATGCGTTTTCTTTTCAAAAAGATTCCTTAAGTAGCTTTGCAAAACTAATCATCATACAGCATAAGTCTTTGGTTATTCTGTGTTCTCACAATATCGGCTTTTGGATGAACGGATTTCCGACTTCATGCAAAACACTATACACCTCAAAACATGATTACTTACTTAGCATGATGTTTTTGCATTGTGTTCGATGCGCTTAAAAATTCAACTATGTTTCGTAGAAAACAGGCATAGAAATATAAATTACTTTGCTCTTTCGGTAGAGAATGACATCTTCTTCAAGCGTTATAACCGAAGGAAGAGTACAATTCGGTTTTAAAAAAATATTTCCAAGTTCCGCATAATATTGTGCCCGAACTGTCGACCGGTTGCTCGCAAAATTAAAAATATGGCTCAAATCCACTACCAAATTTTATGAACCCTGTTTATTTTCCTTTTAATATCGTAAAGAAATGTATGGTTTTCCATACGCAGAAAATATTCGGCCTGTAGTTTGACAACCCTGAATGAAAGTATACTGTCAGGTCGATTCAAAATTATTCGGGGATTGGAGAAGTTTGTAAAACCGAATTATAACATTCCTTCGGGTATAAAATTTGAAGAAGAAGTACAGTGAGTGACCGATCCCATGAAATGTTGGCCGAAATTTTGAAATGCGGTTTCGATTTCGAAAGAGTTCTTAGGTGGAACTGTAAAATTGATTAATATGCGGCATAATCTTATTGTATTTTGAACTCGCCAGAATGTTGGCTTTTGAATGCACTTCTTTTGGACCTCCTGTATAAACAAAACTCAATAAAAATGACTACTTAATTAGCGCGCGTTTTTCACATTAATTTTCGGTGGTCTTAAATATTCGAATATATTTTATAGAAAACTTGCACAAACGAAGCCTTCTTTTATAAATTTGGTGGAAAATCGCGTTATCTTTACATTTTGTACTCGGAGAAACGAGGTTTTTCCGTTTTAAAAAGGTTTCTAATTATGGGATCTTTAAGACCGTCCGATGTCCATATGTACATAATCGCACATGTCCATTTATTAATGCCCCTCATGAAATGTACAACATAAGCCGCACCCACTGCAAAATTTTGTGAACTCTAGATGGTATCTTTTGAAGGGCATAGAACAATATATGATTTTCCTTGCGCAAAAAGCGGGCACCTTGTGGACTGAAATTGCTAAACGATGATGCAATGGCAGATCAGGCTTAAAATTATTCGGCAACTGGGAGACATTTTCAAAACCTAAATACACACTTTCTTTGGGTATAAAAAAGAGAAAAGTGTGAATTATCCTGCAACTGGATTAGTTTTACAGCAGTACTCAATTAACGTTTTGGAAACGAAAACGCATTTCTTAATTATGGTTGGCATTTCTTGAGTTAGCCTACTTACTGTATATTTCCACACAATTCTGCCTCTTTAGCAGCAAAAAATGTAAACAAATTTCAGACAACATCAACTTCGCTTTTTGTCCCATACTTCGTCCTTTCATATTATCATTCCATCACCAAACATTTCATTTTTATAACTAGCACACTTTACATCTCACCAGTACACTCGGAATAAATTCTCTCAGTACGAGACTAGTCTTGCAACCAATGCACAATTCGTACCTGGAACTTTCGAATTTGACCCAGAATTTTTTTTGCGCAGCAGAGTCTTGGCTACTCTCTAATTTCCGACTCGGCGCTTGCTATAGATATCCTCGGCTTTTAGTGAAGAGACCTTATTGAAAAACGCTGCGGAACATATCTAATTTACGTCAGTCCCTAATATGCACATTTGCCTTGGTCGGAAATCCTTCCGCAACGTGCGAAAGCCTTATATGGCTGTGTATGTAATCCCCCTTGTTAATCCAGAAACGAAAGCCGCCATATCGAACTCTTTCGAAAATTCCCAAATGGCTCATCGGATGCTATGATAACTTGTCAGAAATCGACCGGCATATACATACTTCTCTCATATATTCCAGAGAATTTTGGATACTTTTTAACCTTCAAACCGGCATCAATTAGTCCACTTTTGACCGGAAACGACAGAAAATTGGATTTACTTTTAACGATTGGCCTCCTCCCTTTATCTATAAAGTTCCATCTTGACATTCCTTACCGGTGATCATGAATTAATCCATTGTTGTCTTCCCGTTTTCACTATGATAAAGCCAGAAATAAAGCTTGGCTGTTTTGCTATGCTTATGCTAACAAGCATTAAGTATACAAATTAACAAGCAGGCTCGATTGGCATATTATTTCTTTAAATAAAGATCCGAATTTGCTACGATTTATTGCAGGGCATAAGAGAAGGTCTTCACGATCTCAGTCCTCTGAAGACGTTTGAATCGAGTGCCATGTTGTCTGCTGTGCCGCGTCTTCTTAAAAAAACAGACTTTAGAAGCTACAGAAAGAGCTCAAATATTCTCCCCTAAGCTTACTATCGGTTTACCTTAGAATAGCTGCAATGTTTGAATTATCTACACAAATGAGTTTCGTGCGTCATAGGCCTGGGGAGAGTTTAGCTATTAGTGGTGCCAATACCTCTAGGTCTGTATCTCGTGTCCTATGCCATAGATCATCAACTAAGTCCCATTAGGTCATTCCACCTTCCCTTAGTTCCTACTAGACCTTCATTACAGAGAACTCAAGAAAAGTGAACCATTTGTATGATCATCTGTACCAATCATTTCACCATTGCAATTAACCCCATATTTTTAATTCACCCGTCGTCTGATTCTTCACTGATAACCAATGAATTTGATTCTGCGAATAAACACTAACTTATACGCCAACTTACTAAGTCGCACTAAGTAGGAACTGGAAACATCCCGAACTCCCTTACTAAGCAGTTAAGAAATTTTACTCCTCTGTTTAGCAAATTCTTTTCAGTCTTTTTCGAGAACGCTTTTATTCCTGCATATTAAAAAAACGACTATTACGTCTATTATTATACCAGTTTTTCTGATGGTAAAAACTGTCGATATGTCCATAAAGCGCATTTGTTCGTCAAATTCTTTGAAACAATTGTTGTTTTGACGATTATTGAATTTTTATAGTCAGTAAATTCATTAGATCTGCCAAATATGACTACTTACTCGAGCGCTCCGTAATGTTTGTCATATTTCGTTTTTCAATCTACTTACTTCTATTCGTAACGATCGTCTATCTGTGGTCGTTATTTATTTTAACCTTCATAAACCCTTCGACAAAGTGCCACTTAGAAGACTCTTTGTTAACCTAGGAGCTCTGGGACAAGTTAGAGCTATCTAATCGTACACAAAAAGGTTTTCCTGGGATCTTTATTTTTTGACGAGTGCCATCTGTTATGTGGTGTCCTGTCGGATACCGTATTAGGTCCTATTCCGTTTCTCCTCTACACATCGTCAGTATTCAGACACCCACAACATCTTATTTATGTTGATGACCTCAAATGCATATATCCATTCAATCCCAATATTGCCTAGATCAAATCTACACTACTTGCTTGCTCTTTCAGCGTGGAGATCAAAATGGCTAATGGAATTTCCTCCATACAATCACATGTCTGTGACTGTATGTGTTTTGGACCGGAAATTCTGTCCCAATCAGTGGTTTTCCAAGACAGTCCTATGGCCGGATTTGCCACTACCAAGGGCTTAGTTTGAAGCTACACCAATAATCTAAATCCCTCAACAAACACCCGCAAAATTGCGGCCGAAGCTGCCCGGGTTTGTGGCTTTATTTGTCACAATTTCTATCTTCGAAGAAATTAAATTTAAGACTGTATTTAATGTTTTTGCTCACACAGTATTGCTGTTCATTCTGTGATTGGATTTGTTAAAAACACTTTATTAGAAAACTTCTTATACATGGAAAATCCAAATATTTCCTGCTTGGATAGATGCCAGAGAATTAATAGAAAATGTCTTTGTGTCCGGATACCAAAAGCAGGCCCACCTCTTTTACATAAATCACAGTTCAAATTTTCATTGTATTTCGTCCCTAACCCCTGTCAGTCGCTCTTACAGTCCTCGTAATTGCCACCTGATTAGGCCTCGATCCGCATCTTGCACTTATACGCGCTCCCTTTACTTGGCATTCAGGTATACTTTCCTGAGGAATATCCTTCCAGTAGAGGTATGATCATCTGGTTATATTCGTCATACAATGAGAAGCCTGCGCCGTTATCATAAATACTGACATTATCAAGATTTTTTCCCTCATCCTTACCGACATCAAGAAAATTCCACCGGGAATTCAGGACAAAGCCACAAAATTACAGCATCTGTCCACTTTTCCTTATTTGGGTGTGGTATCCTTTTATGGATATCTCATGAAAAATTTAGATTTATCATTTTATGATACATACATCCTGTCCTTCCCGGAAAATCTTCTCAGAGTAGTAGCGGAGTCTTGTTAACGTGCGCTTTCCGGCTCGCCTTTGTTTCGAAATTTGTCTACCCTCGTCAGGAAGCCATTCTTGCCCATGAGATTTTGCTCTCTCACTCCCCAATCAATGACCTTTCTTGGGCCTTGATACCGTCTTCTTATGTCGATCCATATTATCCTCTTGAATATCAAGGCAGAATTTTCTGTTTATGCCGTCGGCTAGCATTTTGTTAGGTTGTGGCAGTTCACGTCTCCTCGCCCTCCGCATTTGTCACGCTGCTGTCCTCTCCGACTCACAGTCCGTGTCGATACGCTCCTGGGACGCGCGAGTGCTCGAAGCCAATCAACGCTGTCCCCACTCTGATCGGCTGGCGGACGTGGAGACAACAAAGGGCGCACACACGCGCGGACAACACCCCGAGGGCGGACAAAAACAAACAGCTTGCTTGGAGCGCGCTCGGGGCGACTGTCTACAGAGCCCTTGTGTACGCACTTCTACAGGCAGTAAATGTTGTCCAACTCAAACCGTCTTCCCTAACTTTTGATTGGGAATCTTTATCTTGTCGACCACATAAACTACAACAGTTGGTGACCCCTTTGCGAACAGCAATCTTTCTTCCTAATCTACGGTAAAGCCAGGCGTTGATCATGGACAACTTTCTACCGGAAGTGCAGCATATTTTGGCACCCGCCTCCGGCATTCTTTCGGCAACGCAACTTACTCAGATGGTTGATCGTCTTATGGAGATGCACGGCTTTTCCAAGCCGTCACTTTCAACTCGCTCTCTCTCAACTCCCTCAACTCATCCTACGTCTCTCCTTTTACATGTGGAGATCGAGCTCAGCAGGCTGGCGGGTGATATAGCTTCATTCCAGAAGCAGACAGTCTCCCCCTCATTTCGGAGCCAATCAAAGTCGTTAACCCCGCATCCCCATTCTTCACATTCAACCCGTCCAAACGCAGCTGCCATCTGCTGGTAGCACACCACCTTTGGTGTTAAAGCACGTCGCTGCATCTCTCCCTGCTCCTTCACCTCCAAGCGGAGCAAACGGGTGAAACTGGTCAGCACGAAGATCAGTGCGGCCAATCATCCCGACATCTCTTCCGGCTCTGGTCGCACCTTCTATGTTTGCGACACTGCGACTCGCAGACGTTTCCTGGTGGACACTGGAGCCCAAATCAACGTTGTTCCCCCAACTGCAGCTGATCGCCGTTTTCCTAGCCCAGGTCTTCATCTCCAAGCTGTCAACTGTTCCCAAATGCCCACTTTTGGCAGTCTGTCCCTCATCGTGAGCATTGGCCTTCGTCGGTCATTCACTTGGATCTTTGTGATTGCTGATGTCCCTCATGCAATCCTCGGCTCGGACCTTCTTGCCGAGTTTGATCTTCTTGTTGACTGTCGACGTGCCCGTCTTCTCGACCACACAACCGGTATGTTTGTTCGTTGACTAACGCCCTTTACAACCCCCACAAACTTATCCGTTTTGGATACGGATATTGCTAGTCCTTTTCAGGCAAATGCTTCTTAGTCACCCCAAAATAATTAACCCCCAGTTTCGCAGTGGTGAGGTTCAACATGATGTTGTGCACCATATCCGCACCTCAGGTCCTCCCGTGTTTGCTCGACCGAGACGACTAGCACCGGAGCGTTTTCAGGCCGCGAAGGCGGAGTTTGAACACATGCTGCAACTGGAAATAATTCGACCGTCCGAGAGCCCGTGGGCGTCCCCACTGCACATGGTGCCCAAGGTGACATCAGGCGACTGGCGACCCTCTGGCGACTATTGTGCCCTCAACAGCGCTACCATTCCTGGTCGGTGTCCCGTGCCTCATCTTCAGGACTTTGCTGGAGCCCTTTTCGGCAAAGCGGTTTTCTCGAAGATTGATCTGGTGCGTGCCTTTCATCAGATTCCAGTCGCCCATGAGGACATCCCTAAAACCGCCGTCACCACACCCTTCGGTCTCTTTGAGTTCGGCCGCATGCCGTTTGGTCTACGTAATGCTGCCCAAACGTTCCAGAGGTTCATCGACCATGTCTTTCGTGGACTACCCTTTGTGTACGCCTACACTGATGACCTCTTGGTGGCCAGCCGGAATGAAGAAGAACACAAAGAGCACATTGCCTTGGTGTTTGACCGCCTTGACAAGTTTGGCGTTGTCATCAACCCCTCCAAGTGCGTGTTGGGTGTGCCATCCCTCGATTTCCTCGGCCATCAGGTCGACTCTGAAGGTTTGCGTCCTCTGCCCACCAAGGTTGAAGCAGTTCGTAGTTTTCCCCCTCCAACTTCCAAGCGACAGTTGCAGCGATTCCTCGTCATGGTCAGTTTTTATCGCCGGTTCCTACAGAACTGTGCCGACCTCATGCTGCCGCTCACCAACATGCTTTCTGGTCCCAATCGATGATTTTTCTCGGACCCTGATGCCGTCTTCTTATTTCGACCCATTTTAGCCTCTTGAATATCAAGGCAGATTTGTCTGTTTATGCCGTCCGCTAGCAGTTTGTTAGGTCAGCAAAGTGTTCTCGAAGGCTCGCCTCCTCCATATGCGCTTTGATAAACGACTCAGCATTTAATACACCCTTCTCGGCGGGACAGTGACTGACAGCATGTTGGCCCCTCTCGTCTGGCCACATTGGCGCGAATAGCCGCACATGGTTTAGGAATTCTGCCTTGACGATGCCCATCTCGAATTCTTTATGCATTACGATGTGTACGCCAGCTCTGTCCGACACGGACACTTGCAATTTTATGAACGACAGTTTCAGTCGCATCAGAATCAAGTTAATTCGTATTCATTTCACAATTTAAAAAGGGGTTTTCTCACTGACGCCGACCGTTTTTCGGATCAGACGGCTTATTCCGAAACCAAAAACTGAATAATTACGAAGCATGTCCACTTGTAAAAAAATGAATATACTACTTTATTTTTACTTGCTTTGATTGCGGGCTATGGTGTACTAACTAAAATGATTATGATTTTGTGTGATCACACGTCTCAAAAATGCATTTCGATGTGACACCTTCTATCCAGAGGAGCGTGAGTAGCTTGTTGCTCCATAAATTCGCAAGACTCAATCTGGAATGAATCGAGAATAGCCCATGGAAATCAAAAGTTTGCGTACTAGGTAGCAGTGAGGAAAACGAACTGCAGGAGAGGCAGCGTCTATTTATCCACGGTTTTGCGTATAAATGAATCGGTCAATATTAATAGCTGTTTTCCGCAATTTCATCGTATTATTGTATCATAAACTGTAGCGTGCTCAGTTTAGCAGCATGTGATCACGGATCTAAGAGATGCATCGGGGTCTGAAGTCCTCTGGCGAAATGTGTGTAGGTGGACTTTGGCGAGAGACGACGTTTTCGTGGCAAGTCAAATTGCCTCCTGTTAAGGCTGCCGGATTAGGGAAAAAGGCTGCCTGTTATGCAACCAGTGCAACGAGAACAAAACATTTCCGTTCCCCCCCGCGCGGGAAAATCGTGCCGAATGAGACCACTTATGCGCCTAGGTAGGGCTAGGAATAGACATCAACACAGTCGCACGATACCGTAGAAGTTTCATGGTGTGATACGGGTGATTTAGGATTTTTAATTCAATAATCATCGAGAACGTAGTTTTCTGTGGAGGAAGCGATATGTTTTGTCCCCCTTGCACTGGATCCCAAAGAGCCAGCGTGATTTCCCCATCCTGCAGCCTACTCCAGACAGCATGTGACTTACTGGGTAAACATCGTGCCTATCCAAACACCTGCGTACACTCATTTCTGCAGAGGACTTCCCACGGAGATGCATCTCTTAGAACTGTGATCACAGGCTGCTAATCTGATCATGCTACGACCTGTTGTACAATAAACCATTATTACCACGCCTAACATGCACTAAGAATTGCCTGTGTGAAGTGTCCGACATTCTAAATATTTGGACGGTGTGTCTCTTCATCAACGTTATCTTTGTTCCTTAACTCGCATACTACGTCCGGTGTCCAAATGGCTTAAGTTTTCAGATGACATAGAAGCACACTGTTGGCAGTTTACTTTACGTCCTGCGAACGTTCCATTTAAAGGCTTCTGACGGTTAGCTGCTAGGAAATCAGTACAATAACAGCTTTTCATCCTCCTTTCATGTTATTCTCTACAATTCTATAAATGCTTTCTTTCTCAATTGCACAGTATGTCATTGAATGCAGGCTCTCACATCCAGCTCTCTCTACTTCTAAACCTTGCAGCGCCCTAATAACTCACCATCTCCCAATATTTTGAGCGTTACTGTCTATTTACTCATTTCCCTAGACATTCTAGTTTCCTTCAAAATAAATCGATTTCATTGACAATTTCGTCGTTTTCTGCACGATGCGGCTGCTGGTTAGCCAGATTTTACGTAATCCGCATTCTTCTCTATCCTCCCTCTCGTTTATCTTTTCTCTTTTTGGACTAAATTTTAGGGTCCCCACCAAGCCGCTCGCGAAAAACCGTGCGGATTAACCAAATTAATCCTAACTCTACTGATAAACGTCCTAGCTATAATGGTGAACTGTAATACGAAACGTCCTAACCTCAACCATAACCCCGACACTAGGCTAACCCGCATAGCCCCATTCATAAACAGAACCCTAACCGAACTCAAATTGAGCGCGAGATCGCCTGTAGTGGGGGACAGTACATAACTTCATTTTTGATTTTCCGCACCAGACCTCAAATGCTTATATCCATTCATTCAATCTACGACGCAATATTGCCTAGATCAAATCCACACTACCTTGCTTGCCCTCTCAGCGTGGATCTCAAAATGGCTAATGGAATTTCCTCCATACAGTCACTTTTATGTGACTGTATGTGTTTTGAACCGGAAATTCTCTCCTAACCAGTGGTTTTCCAAGAGACTCCTATGGCCGGATGTGCCACTACCAAGGGCTTAGTTTAAAGCTGCACCAATAATCTACTTCCCTGAACATACATCTGCAAAATTGCGGCCGAAGCTGCCCATGTCTGTGGCTTTATTTGACACGATTTCTATCTTCCTGAAATTAAGTTAAGACTTTATTGAATGTTTTTACTTACCAGTCTTGAGGAGTTTTGACCATCTGTGGTTTGATGAAAGACACTTGTCGTCCAAAAAAGGGAAATTGTCAAAAATACTTTACTAGAAGACTTTTAAAGAATGACAAATCCAACCATTTCTTACGTGGAAAGACGACACATAATTAACAGAAACTTTCCCTGTGTCCGGATACCAAAATTAAACTCATCTATTTCACATTAATCACAGTTCAAATATTCGTTGTATTTCGCCGATAAAACTTGTCAGTCGCCCTTTCAATCCTCGTAATCCCTACCTGATTAAGTCTCCTCACGCATATTTCACTTACAGTTAGTGATCTAACTCTGGAAATGTATCGAAATTTACGAATGATTGCCAATCTCTCGCAAACCGACACCATTTCATGAGTCAAATGTCTATGTTAATTACGTACAAGTTTAAAGACATAAAAGCGCAAATATAGGCAGTGTTGCGATGTTTAGAAATGTTGATTTATTTTGAAAATCGCAATATTCCGAAAAGGTCAGAAATGGCCCAAATTAAGTAAAGTTCGTTCTTAGATATATAGAGTGTATTCTCGTAGCAAACACGTAGTAAATATGAAAGTAGACATGAAATAACGTCTTATAACAATGGTTTAATGAAGGTCGTCAAAAAAGTACTTTGACGTCATATATGACAGCTTGTCAACTGCCTACATCCTGGGTTTAGATTCCAAAACAGTTTTCCATTGTTTCATGAGTTCCTTTACTTTTTTGAAGTTAAATTAGATGGGGTTCAATAAGAGAAACTGGGTTTTGCTCGGATTCGCCGATGGAGACGTCGTAGGATCAAAATTTTTCATAAGATAACATGCCATGAGGCCGGTTGGTGCCTAATAAATTTAAATAGAACTGACAGGCGTCATCGTAAACATAACATTCTGTCTTCATACAGAGAACATTTCCTCCGTTGAATTAATTGACACTTTTCCTTCGTTGTCGATTACGTTGGGTTTCAGATAGGACTCGAATTATTGCAGAATAGTTCATGATTTTCAGTGTTTTCAGCCGATCGCCCGTAAATACAGATTCCGAATTACCTGACTGTTAAAAACTCTAAAATAAAATTGTTCTTGAAGACATTTACCAAATTACTGAGTTTTCAGGCGCTCCTTTTTTACGAGATATTTGTTCGGGTCACAATTGAAGACTAATACAAACACCAAATTACATTTTCGAGAAAAATTACTGTCCACGACAAAAGTCACCAATGAATATGTCTTGGATCAATAAGAAAACTTTTCTTAATAAGTTACCTCTTTAGGAAGTGCTTTATTACTCCAATCTGTCGACGGATCTCTGTGTACTTTGCATTTTTGAACGGCGAGACCAAGTAAAATTTGACGCTTTTGACGGTTTCTTTCAGGTCCCTAAACAATACTAATATTTTTCTACCGTAAACGCAAAAACATGCCATTCGCTATATATTGAGGCCATTTCCACTGTTTTAGCTCGCATTTAGACTCCGTTTTTCGATTATGAATGCACGGTAGAGCGCCCATATACATACTGATATTTTGATATAAACAAAAATATTTTGCGTCCCCCAAAGCGGTGCGCGATATTTCGTGCGGAGTAGGCAAATTAATCCTAACCGTACTTTTAAACGTCCCAGCTAAAATGGCAAACTATAGTACTGACAGCCCTAACTTTAACTATAGCCCCGACACTAAACTTACTTTCATAACGCAATTCATTAACAATAGGATTATCTCCCTCACGCTTTTCATTTTCGTCTGACGACGGGTTGGTGTAACCGACTTAAAAATTCACGTCTGTATATCGAATTTCCGACGAGCCTTCTTCTTTATATATACATAGTATATATATATAGGCGGTGGCTGCCAAATGGGTTTATGAGTGGTAAATGGTAGAAACCTTCAAAAGTGGCAGAACAGCGATCTACCAAACTGCTCACCTATAAAAAATGTAAAGGTCAACGTGGTTTTACGACACGGGTTTTATTTGCCCCGAAAATTGAGGTCCCACTCATGGGCAGTATAAGAATGGGGACCTAGCGTGAGCCATATTTTCGCGAGCCCTTATGAGCGTTCATGACTTCTGCCACGGGCTCTGAAACCGTAAAAAGAAATTAAGACCACATATTCATGCACACTAGACATGGCAGATACCCGAACCAGACCCAAGAACGGCCAACTTGTCACTTTTATGCGTGCCTTTGCTGGGAATTGTCTCAACTGTTAAGGTGACAGACGTGCATGCGCAGACAGCAGATGAAAAAATGCGCAGTCTTCCACCGTCAGGGTAGATAAAATCGCCTTCTAACCTCTCTGTAATGCGCCTTATATCCTGAAATTTTCGAAAAGAC